TCCAGCTGGTCATTGACACAGAGGGCAACACACCTTCCTTGTCTCCCCTACCTGTGCTTCCTGAAAAGCCTGTACCCTTCCATTCCAGCTCCAATTACAGGAGCCATCCCACCACATCTCCACGATGCCAATAAGATCATATAGCCTTGCAGGCATGTGCACATTTCTAACTCCTCTTGTTTGTTTCCCATGCTTTGTACATTTGCATACAAGCATTTAAGTTGGGCCCCTGATGAAGCTTGAGGGCTGGAATACCTTTGTGCTGCCCTTCAGATGCTCTCCTGCTGACCTGAGACGCCTCTTCAGGCTCTGGACTTCTGTTGCTGGCATTGGATCAGACTGGCAGGAGTGGGATGAATTGAGGTTCCCCTCCCCTGACAACTTTAGTTTAACTCCCTCTTCACCAGCTTGGCAAGCCTACGGGCAAAGATGCTCTTCATTTTCTCTAGACCCAACGGAGCAGGTTTCTCAAAGTGAGTGCCACGGTCTAAGTAGCCAAACCCGTGGCGGTGGCACTGGTCCCATAACCAATTGTTGACCTGTCAGATTCAACTGCCCCTTTCAAACCTCTTCCCTTTGACCAGGAGAACTGTTGAAAAAAAACCCAAAACAGAACCATTCAAGAGTTACAATGTTGTGTGATTTAGTATGCTGTTTGCTTAGCTTTACTTACTCAGCATGGGTATCTAGATTCGCTGAAGCCTTAGGCCACAACTTTCACTGAGATTTGCTGAACTTGTACAGAACTTGTATCTATTCATGCAAGACAAGGCCTCCAGAGCCAGCACAAACACAAAGGTAAGGAGAGTACAAACGTTAATGGCAGCTGCAACTAGACAAGGTAACAGCCTGCCTGGAGACAGTGAAGGAATCCAATATGGAGTCAGAAGGCGTTGGAGGATCCCAGGCCAGAATCACTATTGGACCGGAGTGCGTGTGAAAGGCACGTGAAGATCATGTGAGGGGCAGATGCATAGTCTGTGAGGGTATAGCCGTCCAGGTATTTCTTTGTTCAGGGTCCCTCTCCAGAGGCACCCAGCTTGAGCTGACCCTGTTGCAGTAACATTCTATTAAATTATTTATTTTTATGAAATTCAATGCCATCGCAACTCTGCATTGGGAAACATAGGGTTCGGACTATGCTTCTTTAACAACCCTGACGGCCAAGATGCTGCCTATGAGGATGAGAAGTGGAAGGATTCTCTCTGAAACACCCTGGAACCAGCAAGACAGTTTCTCCACAGTTGGTATCTCAAGATGTGGCCAGTCCATCATCACCAGTGAGTTGGCATACAATGCATATGCATTTTCCACAGACCTAGCTTATGTGGAATCTACATGGCTTATGTGTATCAATGTCAGATCTGTGGAGACCAGTTTGTTGTCCAGGTCACTGCAGACCACCTCCATCACTGCTAATTCTCCTAGGTACTGAACACCTCCCCTCAGCAGGGGTTCAATTGCCTCAGTAATTGACAAGATCACCCTACAGAGGACACCTTACACTCAACAGGAACCACCTCCAGAAGCTACAGAATGTCAACTCTCTTCTAATTTCTTTGTTGATACTCTGGTCCCTAGCAAGGGATCCCAGCTGCTGGTCTTCCCTACCCCCAATTCTTGACTATCCCCTCCAGCATCTCAGCATTTGAGCAACCTGGCAGCAATATGCTTGCCTTGCTGGCAGACGTAATTTTTCCGCCTTATCTTGGAGCTTGCTCAGGGTTAGGGATGGTTTCTGCCTCTTGGATGAGTTCTATCACTTCCTCCTTAGGTTTCCTTGTCAAAGGACTGGCTTCCTGATCAGACCTTCCTCCTCCTCCTTCTCTTCCTTTACTAATTGGTAGTACAGTCCTATTGACATCCACTGCCACTGGTTCCTTTCTTACTACTGAGGCAATCACTGTGGTTGAGGTTTGGGTCCCTGTTCTCAACCATCATGTCCTTAGAGGTAGAGGCTCACTTCCCCCTGCTGCTGTGATGGTGCTAGACAGAAGCCAAACAGACACAGGCCAAGCCCCAAAACAGTGCTAGGAGCTGCTGGGTCTCACTGGAGTAGGCAAGGCACCTTTCATCAAGTGGTGTGCCAATTCAATGGGATTGCATACCTGTTCAGGTGTAAAATCCCAAGTTACAGGACGTGGTAACTGCCCAAACCCTCCTATACACCCTGTCACCCAGGGTTCAACTGCCTCAGGGCATGTTTCTCTGTCAGCTCAATAACAAGTTGTTTACTCTTATGCCAGGACCAAACCAGGTTCTACACACCCAACAACAAGCCAACAATGTTAGAGAATAGGTTCAAATAGCTTACATAAGGATTTACAAAAAACTCAGGAGCCCATGCAACAGAGCTGGGCACATCAACCCCAGAGAAGAGGGAGGTGTAATCCCTTGTTCTCTCTGCAAGGTAGCTCAAGCTTTGAACAGCTTCACAGTCAGGGCCATTTTCCAGTCCAGGCATATGGCCATTGCTTTTATCAAAACGTTTTCAAGCACAGTGAAATGCATTGATAAGCACAGCAAGCAGCAAGAGCTGAAAGCAGCCATTAAAAAGCTCTAGCCTCTAGTACACCGTAAAGCAAGCAAGCTCTGTGACCCACACAGGAGCCTGCCAGTTAACAAGCTAACATGCTCAGATCAAAACTGCCACTACCTCCAGCCCCATCCTGGGTGCTAAAAAGAACTGTGATGGGTTGGCCTGGACCATGGCCAAACAGCCACACAGCTGCTCACTCACTCCTGTCTCCCATGGGACAAGGAGGAAATAGAAGTAAGGTAAGAAAACTCATGGACTGAGAGAATGACAGCTTAATAGGGAAAACAAAAGCTGTATGTGCAAGCAAAGCAAGAAGAGGAATTAATTCATTACTTCCCATGGCCAGGCAGATGTCCAGCCACTTCCTGGAAAGCAGGGCCTCGGCACATGTAATGGTTGCTCGGGAAGAAAAATGCCATAACCATGACCTTACCCGCTTTGTCCTCCTTCCCCTGATCTTCTATTGCTGAGCATGTCATTATATGGCATAAAATATCCTTTTGGTCAATTTGAGTCAGCTGTCTTGGATGTGTCTCTCCCAACCTCTTACCCACACCCAGCCGATGCGCTGGGGGGACGGACTGAGGGCAGGGCAGGGCAGAGTGGGAAACAGAGAAAGCCTGGATACTGTGCAAGCACTATTTGGCAAGGGCCAAAACATCCCTGTGTTATCAACACTGCTTTAGCCACAAATTCAAAGCACAGCACCATGTGGGTTGACTATCACAGCCAGACTCAGTATAATCACTCTTTGAGGGAGTCCCCTTTCCTCATTCCCACTGTTTGTGAAGACAGACTTTTAAGATGGTACCCATGATCCATGAGGGCAGCAGGGAATACTGAAAACATGTCACAGATGAGGATACACAACCTAGAAGTTTCTCTCTAGGTGAGTCCTAGCTGCTGAATCAACTCTCCTTTCTCCACTCCCCACCCAACACTCTTCCCCACAGGAGTGTTGACACTTACAGTTCTATGGCGTTCTCCTTTTGCATTTAAATAAGCTTTGATTGCAGCCAATCCTGCATACTCTCCTTGGGCTCCACTGCAAGAGGAACAAAAAACCTGTTACACAAGCACAAAAAACAGAAAGTGACAGCTCACTACTGAAACGTCAAAATTGTCCGGCCCTAATCCTTCTCAATGGCAAGTGTCAGAAAATTCAAAGACACACATCCCATGGATTAAATTACAAATGGACAAGCATTAATTAACAGCACTTGCCTCTTTGGCAAACAGTAGATGAAAAAAGTTACACCATTTTATGCTATGGTGTTAAATCCTTATGACAGAGTTGATCTGCATTTCTGCACCTAACAGGGGACTACATGCTTGACTACAGAGGGGCAAACTAACATGGAAATTCACACTAAAGTGTATGCAGTGAAACGTAAGAACTCATTCGGTGACATCTTAAGCGTAGAGTAAGTCCTTGCTGCTCGTTTTGTATCAAAACTACTACATAGACATAAATAGACTTCAGCAGTACTCATTCAGCCCTGTTTTATTTATTTCAAGTGAGCATGCAGATCCTAGGAATTCTGCAGTCAAACCTAGTATTACCTAGTGCATCAAATATCCATTTCAACAATTATATAGCTGCCAGCTCATACAGCTTATTCCCATTTCAAATCTTCAATTTTAGCTCATAGGAGGACATCAGTAACATCACCATTTTAAGCCAGCAATAGTGGAGAAACTAGCCTTCATAGAGAGGAAAACGTGGGGAAAAATAGTTAAGAGAACAGAAAAGACCAAATCATTAAAATTTTAGAACAGACAAGACAAAATAAGGTTCTGCAGTTTTGAAAAAACAAATCTTGTTTTCAAAACCTTGCATTCAAGGCTTCTCTTTGTCAAATTTAATTTGAGAAACTTCTTCCAGTTTTGACTTGTCATTTCCTTTACAGATAAGGTTTTGGAATCATGTTAAGGAGCAAAAGTTCAGAAAAAATTTCTTACCTGTTCGGTTGGAAGGAGATTTTATCATAGCCAGTAATCTCACATAAGTCCTTCTCTAAATCCTTGAAAAGCTGCTGATACCCTTGAGCTTGATCCAGGGGCACAAAAGGGTGGATGTTGGCAAATTCTTTCCATGAAATAGGCTATTAAAAAAAACCAACAACCAAACAGAAGCATGTGCTGTGACAAAAAAAAAAAAATCTGCAGACAACTTGTTGTTAAACTCTATGAAGGAAAGAAGCTGCCCTGTGCTCTTGTGCAGCAAGACAAGTTTCCAACCTCATTGCAGGATGTGGCCTGGCTGAACAAAGAGCTTTGGCTGGAACTCAGGAAAAAAAGGAGAGTTTATGACCTTTGGAAGAAGGAACAGGTAACTCAGGAGGACTACAAGGGCATTGCGAGGTTATGCAGGGAGAAAATTAGAAGGGCCAAAGCCCAACTAGAACTTCATCTGGCTACTGCCATTAAAGACAGCAAAAAATGCTTTTATGAATACATTAGCAACAAAAGGAGGTCTAAGGAGAACCTCCATCCTTTATTGGATGTGGGGGGAAAGAATGAGGAGAAGGCTGAGGTACTTAATGCCTTCTTTGCCTCAGTCTTTAATAGAAAGACCAGTTGTTCTCCAGGTACCCAGCTCCCTGAGCTGGAAGACGGGGACAGGGAGCGGAATGAAGCCCCCATAATCCAAGGGGAAATGGTCAGTGACCTGCTGCAACACTTAGACACACACAAGTCTATGGGCTGGATGGGATCCACTCAAGGGTACTGGGGGAGCTGGAGGAACTGCTCACCAAGCCACTCTCCATCATTATCCGCAGTCCTCGCTAACCCGGGGACTGGAGGTCAGCAAATGTGACACCCATCTACAAGAAGAGCTGGAAAGAGGATCTGGGGAACTACAGGCCTGTCAGCCTGGCATCAGTGCCAGGGAAGGTGATGGAGCAGATCATCTTGAGTACCATCATGAGGCACGTACAGGACAACCAGGTCATCAGGCCCAGTCAGCACAGGTTTATGAAAGGCAGACCCTGCTTGACTAACTGGATCTCCTTCTATAACAAGGTGACCTGCTTAGTGGATGAGGGAAAGGCTGTGCATGTTGTCTGCCTAGACTTTAGTAAAGCCTTTGACACCATTTCCCACAGCATTCTCCTGGAGAAACTGGCTGCTTGTGGCTTCAACAGATATACTCTTCACTGGGTAAAAAACTGGCTCAATGGCCAGCTGAAACAGTGGTGGTGAATGGAGTTAATCCAGTTGGTGGCTGGTCACAAGTGGTGTTCCCCAGGGCTCAGTATTGGGGAGAGTTCTGTTTGATATCTTTACCAATGATCTGGGTGAGGGGATTGAGTGCACCCTCAGTAAGTTTGCAGACAACACCAAGCTGGGTGGGAGTGTTGATCTGCTCGAGGGTAGGAAGGCTCTGCAGAGGGATCTGGACAGGCTGCATCGATGGGCCAAGGCCAACTGTGTGAGATTCAACAGGCCAAGTGCTGGGTCCTGCCCTTGTGTCACAACAACCCCAGGCAGCGCTACAGGCTTGGGGAGGAGTGGCTGGAAAGCTGCCCGGCAGAAAAGGACCTGGGGGTGCTGGTTGACAGGCGGCTGAACATGAGCCAGCAGTGTGCCCAGGTGGCCAAGAAGGCCAACAGCATCCTGGCCTGTATCAGCAACAGTGTGGCCAGCAGGAGCAGGGAGGTGATCGTGCCCCTGTACTGGGCACTGGTGAGGCTGCACCTCGAATACTGTGTGCGGTTTTGGGCCCCTCACTACAAGAAGGACACTGAGGTGCTGGAGTGTGTCCAGAGAAGGGCAACGAAGCTGGTGAGGGGTCTGGAGCACATATCCTGTGAGGAGCAGCTGAGGGAACTGGGGTTGTTCAGCCTGGAGAAGAGGAGGCTGAGGGGAGACCTTATTGCTCTCTACAACTGCCTGAAAGGAGGTTGTAGTGAGGAGGGGGTCAGTCTCTTCTTCCAAGTGACAGGTGATAGGACAAGGGGAAATGGCCTCAGGTTGTGCCAGGGGAGGTTTAGATTGGATATTAGGGAAAATTTCTTCACTGAAATGGTTGTCAAGCACTGGAACAGGCTGCCCAGGAAAATGGTTGAGTCACCAGCCCTGGAGGTATTTAAAAGATGCTTAGATGTGGCACTTAGGAACATGGTTTAGAGGTGGACTTGGCACTGTTAATGATCTTAAAGGTCTTTTCCAACCTAAATGATTCTATGTTTCTATGATTTCCAGTAACATTTTTTTAACATACAGAAGATGCTTAAAAATCCTTAGTTTCTCCTTCTAGGTCACCCACCCTTACGTAGAGTGCAAACAGAAAGACACGGACCTGCTCCAGTGGGTCCAGAGAAGGGCCACAAAGATGATTGGGGGCTGGAGCACCTCCACTATGAGGACAGGCTGAGAGAGCTGGGACTGTTCAGCCTGGAGAACAGAAGGCTCCAGGGAGACCTTACAGCAGGCTTCCAGTACTTCAAGGGCGCCTACATTAAAGGTGGGGAGGGACTTTTTATCAGGGAGGGTAGTGATAGGACAAGCGGTAATGGTTTCAAACTGAAAAAGCACAGAATTAGATTAGTTATTAGGAGGAAACTCTTTCCTGTGAGGGTGGTGAGACACTGGAACAGATTGCCTAGGGAAGCTGTGGCTGCCCCCCCCCCCGGCAGTGTTCAAGGCCAGGCTGGATGGGGCTTTGAGCAACCTGGTCTGGTGGAAGGTGTCCCTGCCCATGGTGGGGGGGGTGGAACTAGATGATCTTTAAGGTCCCTTCCAACCCAAACCATTCTATGATGCTATGAAACAGAGAAGAGTCATGTGGAACAGTACATAACATTCAGTTTGCTTCACAGAGGTTTGTTGCTATCCATTTTAATTAGAAGGGAATATACAACACAGAAGAAGTGAGAAGACATAGAGAAGGCAATGAGAGAAAGGGGAGAAAGGAAGCCTAGTAAAAGATCAAAGTGAGAAGCCAATAGGGAGAGAACAGAGGAAGCTCATTCAGAGTCACAGTCATTTGCTACCCAGACAGCCTGGCTAAGGCTCTGCTTCATTTGCTACCGGCCAGAGAAATGAAGATATCCAGAGACTCCAGCTCCTCACTTGGGGAAAAGGAGTGCTATTCTAAGAAATAGCAAACTGGCAAAGAAGCATGAATTGCCAGGCCCATCTGCCTCTTTTCATATTTCTGAGGATTTGACTGTAAGATTTGTAAACCAGATAGAGGTTAGGTACTGCAACACCGCATAAGGGAACAGGACTGTGATACCTAGTTCTAAAAATTATTTTCATTATATTTTTCAGAATGGAGTCTTCAAAGCCACTTACTCTTCTGCTGTTGTTGCCCTCTTTTTTGAGCTTTTTTCCTAGCAGAAAAGGAAGCTGGTGACTTTATCTACTTCTAAAACTGCCTCCTCAGCTGGAGTACTAGACCAAAAGCAGTCTTTATATCTCTACAATGACACTGGCTAGATTGTTCACCCATGTGTGTCTCAAGTAAGACAGTACTATCACAACTTACTGTAAGTTCAGCTGAACTATTGAGCTTCATTGTGCAGGAACCCTAAAAATACAAACACATTTGTCAGTATTTATTGAAATACATAAATACGTATGCAAGTACCTAATTTTTTCTCTTTTTGGTCAATACCTACCAAAGGAATCATGCTGTGAACAAGGGAAATATCTTTGTTTTCTAATCTTTTCATGTACCGCACGATATTTGTCTCAGAGTGATAGCTGGAGAACACAAAATGTGGTGTTAAGGCAAGAAGATTAGCTATACCAGCTGGTTGATCTGTGCTCTTAACATAGGAAAAGCCATAAAAAAAAGAACTAAGACTAAGGTTAATTTCATCATATACTAGGTACTTCTTTCCAAATTGGTACTTTATGCTTGTTAATAGCAACGTGGATGAAAAATGCCTATTATCATTTGCTCAGAAATGCTATCAGCATGCTGCTGATACTATGTTCTCAAATAGTAGCTTGTACAATGTAGCAAATTAATGGAAAAACACATCCCCCATATGACCACAAATATTGCTTTGCTCGTTTAAAATGGGAAAGATCTCTAAAAATGCTACTAAATAGATTATTGCAGAGTAACAAGTGACTGTGTTAACACAGCTACAAAACTGTCCTCAACTGACTCCAGTATCCCTTTTGAATGGAGACACTTTCAGATTCCAATAAAATACCAGATACACAGCAATTTCACAAACCTGTTGAAAACCTGGTGTGTCAAGAATTTGGAAGTTCTCTTAAATGGGGTGCTAAAGATGCCTTTGGTTTCCTCGCCCATACCCTCAGCAATTAGCTCCTTTGACACAAAGAAACATGGAGTCAAATACTTTTCCAGAAATTTCTCTTTTCACAGTCAATTTTCATCAGAACTAGCTTATAATACCAGTTTACCTCAAGATTTAGGCAGGTCTTCAGGTAAAAAACCCACACCTTTATTAGCATACATACCTGTATATTTTTAGCATGACAACAGCATTATATTACAATTGGGTACAGATGTCTTAGTAGTCCTTATCTTGCAAGTATTGCTGTTAATTACTAATGACACGTAACAAAAATTTCAGTGGGAGAGAAATAACCGACCTCTGTGTCTTAACCCTCACAAAACAACTAACAGCCTAAATGCAAGGTGTCCAAACTGACAAAAATGACTAAGTGTCACAATCAGAAAATGGCATTACTTGGTTACATAGATCGTGGTTATCTCACACTGTCTCTTTCTTTAAGAGAGGATCTGAAATTCTCAGTATTTAACAAATGGTCATCATACAGACAACCACTGCCCCAAAAGCAGTTTTGCTTTTCACTAAACTTCTGAAACATTCAGGTAATTTTATCTATGTGATCTATTGTCTACTTACAGCTGAAGACTCGCAACCAAAAATCCATAATATGTCATCTAGGTCTTTCTCATTTACAGTTTCATCAAGTGATACTCCAAGCTATGGATAAAAGCAAGAGTAATTACTCAAAGCTCTTAATTCCAGAGGCACAGCATATTTGTTCTGGTTGAGAAAAAATATTCCAGAAACACAATCTACCCATCAATATTTAAATGTCACTTTGTTTTATATAACAGATACATAAATTTATATTATTTACATAAAATTTTCCAGTTCCTACCTTTCCCCTGCTAAACTATCCAAGCCAGATGGCTCACAAGCTTCAAAACTTGTGAGCTCACTTCTAATGTTTCTAAGTGTTTTCCATTTAATAGGAAAATTGCCCATTTTGGTAGGCCACCTCTTCTCCCCCATTGCATTTTACAGAAGATATTAGACTTTGCCAAAAGTCCTTAGCGCCTACCAAAATGTGGCTTAGATTTCAATGTGTCTTTAACACTGCGACAAGACCTGAGTTCTGGAGGTCATCTTGCATTTCACCATTAAGTTTTAGAGTCTCTCCACGCTAGCCCATCATGGCATATTGAACATGAAACAATTAAACACTATTTTAAAATAGGCATAAAATGAAAATACAATGACTATTTCTGGAAGTTCAGTACATCCCTTAACTTAATTCTTTATATTATCTTTATAATTGACTGATATATCTGAGCAAATTGTAAGAAGTCCTAAACTTAATGCAGAAAAAGTAATGCTACAAATTTCTGAAAGAATTAAGGAGTTGCTTACTCTGCCATCACTATAAATCCGAAAATTTATCTGTCTAAGAGCTGCCCTGTCCAAAACCTCTTTGACTGAGCATCCACACGTGATCGTCAAGGTATCAAAGAACAGATCATGATGCAGTTTATGACCAGCTCGTCTGAGACCTATAAAAAACGGTAAGTCAATTCTATCAGCAGCATACTGTATTGCTTGCTTACGCAGTACTTGCATAACAACACTATTAATATCATTTTTACATAATAAAGCAGAATATTCCCCATGTGTACACAACAACAGAATCACCAGCTTTTTAGTGAAATGTCATTGTGCATGAAATGCACCTAAATCCGATGCAGACCTAATTAATAATGCAGACTGAGTCTAGGGAAAGTCCTTCTGATACATCAAGTTTGCAATACATACAGTAGCAGAATTGGTATATGAATGCAATAAGGGCAAAATCACAAGATTAGAAAGAAAAAATTTATTATACAAGTGGATATTAATCTTCATGGAGATTGCCATAACAAAGTTTAGAGTGTTCATGCTTTTCACAGTAGCAAAGGTCTTTCAGCTAAGCTGGCAAATAAAGCATGGATAATTGTGGCAATCGTTCCACAATTCGCAGCATTCCAGTTCTGCATAGCTCCTTCTGACATTAATGATACTGATGCCAGTGAAAAAACCCTACCAGACCACATAGTCCAGCTGCAATCATTATTTTCTGATACAGATTCTGTGCTTTCGGTCAGCTGTTAAGCCTTGGGATTTCAGTATTCATAGCAGGTATGATACTCCATCCAACTTAACTGAAACGTCCCTATTTCTTTAATAATCTCATTTGTTACTTATTTTTGCTATGTTATTAATACTTTGTGCAGATTTCTGTGTGTAAACTGGGATGGTCCTGTAAGTGAAGCACAGAACTTGCAGCTGGAAAACCGCATTTGAATCTTATCGTCTAGACACGCTGTGTAGACTTCTGTTAGTTTTCCAAGGAAACGAAAGTAATGCTTGCAAGCTCATATCACATAAATATTTAACTCTTGGATGTCATTATTAGAAGTACACAAAAACATTAGCTACGAATTTTGTATTAAAATGTTCTCCCTAGATTTGAGAGAATAAACATCATCTCGCACAGCCCCCCCTCCCAAGTTTATTTAAGAAATTGTATTATTTAAGAAGGTGTAAGGATTTAAGAACAATTCAATGTTTCTGCAAACATTGAATACTCACCTTCAGCCAATATTAGAGTAGCACTGTGTACCCTTCTTGCAATATGTCTTAATCCATCAGACCCATGGTATATACCAAACATGGCTGCCATGTTAGCTAGAAGAGCCTAGGATCCAAACACAGTTTAGGACATATTATTATTATTATTGTTATTGTTATTGTTGTTAGGACATATTATTATCGGGTTTTAGTATTGTTGTTGTTATTATTATTATATTATTATCATAAAGATTCTTTAACACCCAGGGACAACCACATATCCTCAGCTGATGTTATACTTGGTTACCTGTTGCCTACAAAATAAGAGGTGGGAAAGGCCAAATACTTTTGTGAAACTGTTAAGCACTGATTATGAAGTCAATGCCCTTTGAAATGTAACTGTATCAGCAATTAACATGGACTTAAATTCAAGTATTGCAACAAAGACGTCCGAAGACTCTCAAGTAAAGCTAGTCTCACAGGAAACTCATTGTTTAGGACTGGTACAAAACATTTATGGATTATCTCACGAATATTAATTAATTAAGCTCATTTTAATATTAATGATCCCTCCTCAAAATCTGGCACAACATTAAAAGCGTGAGCAAAGCATTGATTGGAGCAGAAAAAAATTAAGAACTTGTCTGGCTGAAGGTCTTGGAGGCATGCTGAAGACAACTATTTTGGATTATTACTTACGTAATCATGGTATTTTCCTGTAAAGGTAGCTCTTTGGCAATATAATATTTTTGCATCAAATCACATAGACAAAAATATAAATTGTGACAATTTGAGCAAGTAGTTTTGTAATTTAAGAATGGATATTTTTTGCTTTGCAATTTCAGATCATTACAATTGCCTTCCGTTTTATTAAGAAATCCGTCTCACTCATAACAAACACAGCACTACTCAGTGGTGTTCACCCTACGAGACAGATGGACTCATGACACTGCATGAATTCAGGGCTAAAATCTTTATTAAAGGAAACAGATATGAATATCCTCTTTTCAAGCAGGGTTCCATTTTTCAAAGGACCCAAAACAAATACATCAGAATATTTCAATGTTCTTCATTCTTCTAGTAATAGTTCTCAAAAGTAAAGCTAACTCAAGTTACTGTGATGTTAGGACTATAATCTTATGTTTTAACTTGTTCTTTTCTACCACTGGAAATAAAGCATGACAAGTTACCTGTGCTGTGCAGATGTTACTGGTAGCTTTATCCCTCCTGATATGCTGCTCTCGTGTTTGCAAAGCAAGTCGGTACACTTCCTTTCCATTTGCATCTCTAAGTCACAAACAAAAATGTTGCTTCCGTTACTTTAAAATTACAGTAATTTAAGACATTGGGCTCTATGCATGCTAACCTGAAACTAGTTATCTGCCCTCAGAGAAAGAGAGGTGCTGGGGAGAATAAAGCATAAGTCCGTACAGCTGTGATGTCAAACAGAGAGCAAGGCTAAAGTCTCTAGATTTCTGTTTACATCATGGCTGGCAAATGTGTCCGGCTAGGTAGAGCACACAGTGAGTTTTCTAAGCATACCACACCAAAACTTGGCATTTGCCTTAAAATGCTACAGATTATTGCAACTATTTTAAGTGAATAGTAATCCAGAACTTGACTTGAACAAACACTGAGAAGGCTGCATCTTTTCTAATGATGTCAAGTGACAGCATGTTGAGTTTGTATGCAAAATAACCTGTCCAACAAGGTTGTATGAGATAACTGACAGGGCTCTGGCCAATCCATCGTTTAGGAGGTCCTTTTGTAGGGTTCCTAGCATGTTAGAAGTGGAGAGGTAAGAGCCAATCTAATATCCTTGGAAACTATGAAAACTTTCAGAACAGCTATAAAAAGAAACAGACAAGCTACATACACACATATATAAATATATGTACATATGTGGGGGTTTGAATAGCTAGACTACTTGCCTCAGGTACTTGTGCACAAGTTATATGATATTTAAATCATACTTACTCTAGCAGTTGTTTGGGGATTTTGACTATACAGTTTAGTTCATCACCAGTTCATCACCAGTCCATCCAGAGGGACACTGACAGGCTCGTGAAATGGGCTGGCAGGAACCTCATGAAGCTCAACAATGGGAATTGCAAAGTGCTGCACCTGATGAAGAAGCCCATTCACCAGTACACACGATGGGGGCCACCCAGATGGAAAGCAGTTTAGCAGAAAAGACCCTGGGGGTCCTGGGGAACACCAAGTTGAACACGAGCCAGCAATGTGCCCATGCAGCAAAGATGGCAAATGGTATCCTAGGCTGCACGAGGCAAAGCTTTGCCAACAAGTCAAAGAAGGTGATCCTTGTCCTCTCCTCAGCACTGGTGAGGCTGCATCTGGAGTAGAGTGGCCAGTTCGGGGCTCCTCAGTACAAGAGAGATAGGGAGGTACTGGGAGAGTCCAGTGGTGGGCCACAAAGATGTTGAAAGGACTGGGCCATCTCCTCTGTGAGGAAAGGCTGAGAGAGCTGGGGCAGTTCAGCCTGGAGAACAGAAGGCTCAGGGAGGACCTCATTAATGTATATAAATACCTGAAGGAATGGTGCAACTAGGATGGAGCCAGACTTATCAGCAGTGCTCAGTGACAGGACCAGAGGCAATAGGTGCAGACTGAAACACGGGGGGTTCCTCCTGAACATCAGGAAACAATTTTTCACTGTGAAGGTGACTGAGCACTAGCATAGGTTGCCCAGAGAAACCGTGGAATCTCCTTGGAGATCTTCAGGAGACATCTGAACATAGTCCTGGTCTACTGGCTCTTGGTCACCCTGCTTAAGCAGGGAGGTTGGACCAGGTGACCTCCAAAGATCCCTTCCAACCTCAGCCATGCTGTGATTCTGTGATCAAAAACTTAACCCGCAACAGAAAGCTGCATTGAGAAAGTACTGTAGCTTTTTCCATCCTATCACTTTCATTTCCAACTTTCTTGAGATGCAGAAAGATGAAAGCAGATCAAAAATATTAAACTAGGTGTAGTCACAGGGTAGCAGTACCATGACCTTGACAAACAGAATTACTGTTCTTTTGTTAAGGATTGTACCAACTTCTTATCAAAACCTGAATGGAGGATCAGATTTCAGAACTATGAGTAAAAGCCTAAGGATACCTTTAGAATAAGCAAGTTGATGAAAAATATATTTGAAGGAATATTACTATACAAACAAAATATTTCTAAGCTTTTTGATAACTGTTAACATCATTAATTATTTTGGTTACTGAAGCACTTCTGAATAGCTTCCGTGCCAAGAATATGTAGCCTTTCCAGTGACAATTACTCTGCATTTCTACTATTCCCAGTTCGATACCTTGTCAAAACTCAAAATATGTCAGCAATAACAAGGATTAGAGGTAAATTTTTGCACACTATTTCTCTGCTTTGTTTAAGCTTGACTAAAATTTGAACTAGATTAAGTTCCTTCTCAATTATTTGGGAGGTACACTGAGTTATTTGTTTCTTCCCATTTATGTTTTAATGACAGGATGTCAGAGAAAAAGCTACAACAGTACACAATAAATGGAATAAGTTAGCTTGAAAAGCCTCATGCCATCACAATTAATCCTCTCTGCTGTTTCGGTTCTTTTCATCCCACATTGCAGCAAGCACTAAGACAGTTCACAGCTTCATTCCACACAAATGCAATTCTTCAAGCTTGCTTGCTAAAATTTGAAAGCAACTTTTATTCTTCCAGTTCTCAAGAAAAAGTGTTCAGTACAACACCATGGTCACCTGTTACTCATAAAGAACATAAAAATGTGTTTTATTTCGATTTTCCCTGAAGACAAGAATGGCAAAGGGAGTCCTTACCTCGTAACGCCCACCATTCTGCCTGGCATCATTCTCACTAGATTGTCCTTGACAGCAAAGAATGCCGCGTGAGGTCCCCCGTAGCAGAGTGGCACACCAAACCTCTGGGAGTTACCCAAGACAATATCTACCCCAAACTCTCCAGGCGGCTTCAGAATACAGAGAGCCAGAAGATCAGTAGCACAGCAGGCGAGAGTCTGAGAACAGAAGCGCACAGAGCAGTCAGCCTCTTTCCTGAAGGAATGGTGTTTCCATCAGAGCTAAGTTTGAACATGATACAGCTTCAAACAGTTCCGTATAACTTGCACAGAGCAGAGGTGCAATGATTGTAATGGTTATTAATTGCATGGAGCTAAAGTGCAATACTTTAAACAGTATCTTCTGTCACACTTCGTTTCTGTGACTCGCTGTTTGACGCATCAGATTTAAATCTGTGCGACAAATAAAACTTAATTTACCCCATTCTGATGAGCTCTTTCAACAAGATCAGAGAAGTCTTCCACCTTCCCTTCAGTGTCCGGATACTGAAATAATACTCCACTGACATCCTTCCCACTGAAATCCATCTCATGGGGTAATTTGAGCTCAGTAATAACACCCGTATAACTGGAAAACAAGAATATGCAGAAGACAACATATTCAAACCACTTCCTGCCTTGGCATGCTACTTAGTATGATGTTTTCATGGGCTTATGTATGACTTTTTTCTTTAACATATAGAGAGTTGAACCTGCTTTGCAGCGCTAAACACTGAGAAAGTTTCAAATCATGGTATATAGTACTGAAGAATAATTGCATTCGATATCATCATCAGAAATAAGGAGCAAAGCAGAGCAGAGGATGCATAAGCTACTTGATACCAACATTTTGCTGCTTTAGCAAGATTAACTTTGAGAACCAAGTCACATTTTTAGAAGACAGTTATTTTAAACTGTAAATTTAAAACAGATTTAGCATTCATTAAAAGAGAGGTTTTGCTACCTACGGTAACTCATTTCCTAGTTACAAAAAAATGACTAGACTGAATTCAGCAACAAATGTACACATTCGTGCAAACAACTTAAGGGGAAAATGAAACATTTTCTTTTTATCAGATGTTTTGTGTCTTTTTAACATCTTTACCATTTTTGTAAACATCTTAATTACTTTGCAGTTATATTTGAATAGAAAAGTAGAAGCAATGCCAAATGTTAAAGATTTCTGCTTCTATTTTGCAAAGAAAGCATAATCCTATATTCAAAAAATGTTAGCTGTATCGTGAAGTGGCACAGATGAAAAATGATTCAATCTAAGTGAAAACATATGATGGAAGATGGAAAAAACCCATTACTTTGCTCTAGTTTGGACCACTGCTATAGTTTGAGGGTGGCACCGGGCATCTACATAGAACTTCCTTCTTTTGTTGTGCCTGTTAAAAACAAAAGGAAAAAAAGAAGGGTTATGTATGAAGAATATATTGTTTTCCATGGAAATAAAATTAATTGTTTTTCTAAATGTGAGTTTTCCTAAGTTAAAAGGCAGTTGTAAATTTTAGTTATCATAATCACAATAGGTGTAAGACTGAATGAAGGTTCTGGTCCATTTAAAATAAGCAAGTTCATTTCAGACACTCAAATGAGATTCATACGTGACAAAAATTAAAACAGACAGTGAAACAGAAAAAGGAGCCAACTTAAGAAGCTGCAGGAACGCCTCCACACACACGTACTCTTTTAAAGGAATACAACTGTGGTCTTTGATACAGATGTCAATGTTGCCCTGGATAACCAAACATGGTAGTAAAATAGAGACTGAGACAATTGCGTAGTTTTCTCTGGTAAACACGATTTTATGTCAGATTGTTCCTTTGAACAACTGAATAGTTACAACACGGTTTCTGCTGTGTAATCTCCTTCCTGATATACAGTCCTACAGTGACCTTCAATCATCTCTCAGACTTCACTTGATTTGCAGATGCCTTTCAAATGCCCCTACAATACAGATCCCTGAAAGTAAATTTGAATATACCAGTAACAGTTTCACTTTTAGCAACTTAGGACTGACATAATTCACCTGTTTTTAAAGCTCCTTCTAACCACTAGTGGAAAAAAACAATTCACATTTCAGTGTTCATGGAAACAAGACATTCAAGCTACAGACTGTTAGGTTATATGACAAAAGCTGCTTTGCACCCCCTCAGAGAGGCAATGGCAGGTGGGGGAGCCCAAATAACATCCTGTCCCTGCTGCTCCCAGGGCCATCACAGGAGATACCAGCCCATCAGAGACCCATCTCCACAGGCACAGAGGAGCACAGAGGCCCCAAGCCAGGTGGCAACCCAGATTAATTAATTAACCCAAACAGACACACTGACTGAGCCTCCCCCGGGGGGAGACATGGAATGCAGAGGAAGAGTATTTTTGAGATTGAAAGGACTTGTTATGAGATGCTTAAGGGAAAAGGGGTACAGCTAAGCGAGTCTGGGACAAACAAGTGTAAGAAAATAGAGGGGTAAGGGGGTAAACGGGGCCAGCCATATGTAAATAGTTGCTGGTTGATGCACTTGCACCCAACTAGTGCAGTGTGTCCTCTCTTCTTGTTAAACTCATTTCTGATTCTTTTCATGGGTGAGGGGACACCACGTTCTGGGAGGTGGGGTGGGGGTATATGGCTGTCTGGGTGCCAGCAACTGGAGTCAGACCACAGAGGATCCACATGTGCATGGTGCAGCAATTGGAGTGACCGGAGTGAGTGTGCTTCAGTGCCAGCAACTGGAGCAGTGCCTCAGCCATAGGGGCCCCTGTGTCTGTGGTGGTAGCAGCTGGAGCAGGTGTGTGTCTGGGTGCCAGCAGCTGGGCTGGTACCACAAGCAGGGCAACTAGACTCCCTCCAGTAGGTCCATGTCTCTGTTGTACTAGGGAGCCCAGAATTGGACACAGTACTCCAGGTGTGGCATCACCAGGGTCAAGGAGAGGGCAACGATCACCTGCACTGACCTGTTGGCAACATTCCTCCTAATGCAGCCCAGAATACCGTTCGCTTGCTCTGCCACCAGAGAACATTGCTGGCTCTTGTTCAAATAGACCCTCAAAGGCTTTTTCTGCAAAGCTGCTTTCCAGCCTGCCAGCCCCCATGTACCCCATATGCCCGGGGCTGTTCCTCACCAGGTGCAGCACTTTGCACTTCCCCTTATTGAGCTTCACGAGGTTCCTGTCAGCCCATTTCACCAGCCTGTCAAGCTCCCTCTGGATGTCAGCCCAACCCTCTGGTGTATCAGCTGCTTCTCTTAGTTTTGTGTCATCAGCAAGCTTGCTGAGGATACACTCTGCTCCATCATCCAGATCATTAACTGGACCCAGTGTTGCCCCTGGGGTATGTCATTAACAACTGGCCTTCAACCAGACTTCATGTCACTGCTCACCACCCTCTCAGTCCAACCAGTCTTCAATCCACCTCACTCTCACCTAATCCACCCCATACTTCTTCAGCTTCTCTGTAAGGATTTAAGGAAGATTGTCAAGGTAGACGATACTCACTGCTCTCCCCTCATCTACCAAGCCAGCCATTTAATTGTAGAAAGTTATCAGGTTGGTCAAGTAGGACTTCCCCTGTGTGACTCCATGCTGGTGACTCCTGACCACCTTCTGTCCTTCACATGCCTGAGAATGGTTTCCAGGACTAGCAGTTGTTCCATCATCTTTGAGGGATCGAGGTGAGGCTGACCAGCTGGTAGTTCCCTGCATCCTCATTCTTGCCCTTCCTGAAGACATGAGTGACATTTGCTTTCCTCTAGGGCTGAGGCACCTCCCCCAGTTACCATGATTGTTCAGAGATAACGAAGAGTGGCCTTGCAATGACATCAAGTGGCTCCCTCAGCACTCATGGGTGCATCACATCAGGGCCCACAGACTTGTACATGTCCGGTTTGCTTAAGTATGGTCTAACCTGACCCTCCTCCACCAAGGGTAAGTCTTCCTTGCTCTAGACTTTCCCCTGTTCTCTAGGTCCTTAGGTTTCTTAAGGCCTTAGATATCTGAGTTAAGCATTCACATCAACATTGAGAACTTCTCTAAGTGCTTAGCAACATGGGCTACAGCTGTTTAGTGATCTGCTTACAGTGAAAAGGCCACACTTGACTTCAACCCACCCACCTATTCATGCCTACGCAGGAGAGACGCCCTTCAAACTCCAAAATTCCTTCCTGCTGCGATTTAACCATAAGTTTAAACATAGTACCTGTGACATAATTGCATGGCTTCTGCAGCAGCTGTCCCCTCATCCAGCAAAGATGCATTAGCCACATCCATTCCTGTGATATCGCACACCATAGTCTGGTAGTTTAGCAGGCTCTCCAGCCTGCCCTGTGAGACCTCAGGTTGGTAAGGAGTATACTGGGTAACCCTGTAAGAAAAGAACTCTGAGTTTGGGTCTAGGAAAATAAATATGTAACAGAATTATGCCAATATGTAACTGAGCTCTGTAATAGAAAAAAAAAAATATTATGCACAATTCACTAACATGAAAGTCTGTTAGAAAACCATGATTTTTAGACGGCTGTAATTTATTGCTGTCCTCGAAGCACAAGAATATTTTCTCTTCTGATATTGACCTGGGTTTTTACAGAAGAATTCTATTTCTCCATTTTGAAAAGAGAAATTACTTTTAAAACAAAGTGTGAGTGCATCTTGGGGAAGGGAGAGGGGAAGTAGGTGCTAGGTGTGAGAGAATTGAGTCAAGTCACAATATCCAAATGAGAATGCTTAGTTCAATCACACCTAGGTATTGCCATTATCTTTCAACACTGTTTCTGATGCCCTTTATTTGCCAAGTCTTCTCCATGCTTATAAGAGGAAAGGTACTCCGCATTTCACAGGATCAAGCTCAAGAAATACGCAACTTATTGTGAAATTACAGTTTTCCTATGTGTTACTGAAGGGAAGTAAGATTGATATGAGCCCTAGCTGTTGCCATTTGGAGAACAAAACAGGAGAGGCAACATAAGCAATTCCTTAGAACAGGCAACAGTCTAAGGGAAACACTCCATTGTAACAGTCCAGAAAAACAAAGCAGAGTGGGTCCAGGGATGAGAGATCAGACTGTTCTCTCACTGCTGGAAATTTGGGTACTGGATTCCATGGTGGCTCAGGACAGACTTTATGCCAGTTTGAACTCAGAGCAGAGGCCAGAAACAAGAGATAAGCGGGAACATGCAGGGCCTCTGTTTTCTAGCAATGGAAGACAACAATAGTTTGTTTCCTGAAAGTGTTAATTTGATGATTCCCTTGAATAACCTCAATCCTACCCCACATAGTTGGGATACTACACTATACTACAAAACAGAATTAATGAAACGTTGTGATTTTGATGTTATGCTTTTGAATGGTAAAAACAGTTGAAGTAAAACCAACCAGTTTCAGAAAAGATGGAAAAAAAATCAGCCAAGAAATCCTGAATTCCAATATTACTGCAAATTACAGTGCATGAAGTTTAGCAGTTGTACAGGTAAACACATCTTTTATAACATAAAAATATTTATTTAAACACTTTTCTCTGGTGGTTTTGGTTTGGTTTGTTTTTTTTTTTTTTGGAAGGTTGTTTGTCATTGTTCTCCACTATTTCTTCAAATAAAATAGGTGGCTTTAGTCTGCACCCTGACTTCTGCCTGAGTCTATACTATAATCATCATCATAATCCATACATGCTAAGTGACTTTTTAAAGTCATTTAAAAAAGTAAAAGTAATTTCTAAAGTAAACTTTTACATAAATCAAATCTCTAAAAAGCATGCTAAGCCATCTCTCATTCAAAACCCACTCATTCAAAAACTCTACTGCTTAGGTTTGTTCAAGTGGCTGTTCTGCACATAATTCAAGTCCAGTACCAACAACATTAAAACAAAAAGGAAGAATTACCATCATGGCATGGAACACAACTACAAACTGCTCTTGTTCAGTCATACTGGAGAAAAATATGGTCTCCAGTCAGCACCTGTGCTGACCAAAAAGACTATATATTAACTGCAAGATTAACAATTATGGTTTCTTTATACTAAAGTTAGCTCTTGCTTCCACACAAAGATTCAGAAAACTCCATTATCATGCTATATTCAATGAACTAGTTCTTGACTAGTATTTGTAGGTCAGTAAGATCTAAGACTAAGCCTTTATTTCTTAATATACAGTAAGTTCTAGCAAAACAGTTCACCATGTATCTTCCTTAGTGATTTTTCTATACTTTGATTGAATCTCTGGAAAATTAATGTGTTCATAACCAACACAATACTTTTATCTTGTTATAAATTATGTTCTTGCAGTTTTAGACATCTGCAAGACTAATCTCATTCAATGGCAGAGCTAGAATTCATTTGGATTTCCAGTTACACAGACTATTCTTTTTGAGATCTGACATCTAATGAGATGAAATGACCTTAAAGTAAGTACAGACCACTAGTAGAATTTAAAACCAACATACATAAGCCACAGAAAAAAGATAATTCATACATCTGACAACACTGGAAAACTGAGACTAAAGTTCAGTCATGAATACATTAAATTTTTTAATTATCTGACTTTTATGGACTGGACATTTCTGTTAAGGCCAAAAACGAAACAAAACAGCTGTATTTAATTTAAATATGCACATATATAAATATTGCAGAGTAAAGCAAAGCTGTACAACCAGAAGCCATCCAACTGCACCCAGCTCCATCCAGCCTATAAAATTCACAAAGGCCATATTGTATATAGAGTTCCAGAGGAATCACTTGGCACTTCATGTATCTTCGAAGAGCAGTTACAAGGGTGTTCCTAAAACAGCATCTCCCCCATGGGTTTGAGAAAGCTGGATAGTCTTACAATAGGGCACAGAAACATGCCAGTTTTGACTCAAAGCATAAACACTAAATTTACTGCCAATTTGGCATGCTTTGTAGTTGCTTGTGCAGCTTTCTGTATCTGGTCTACAAGTAGAAAACAGCTGTGCAACTTTTATATCAGATTTTTTGCACAGTACGCAGTAATTTTCAGAATGCAATGCTTAAGTGCCGAGTGCTACTAGCTAATAAGCTTAATAAGCTACACCACCGATGTAAAGATTGCAGGTGTCCTCAGGTACTTTATTCTTACATATTTAATGTCTGGGGGCAACGGAATCAAGTGGTCTGTACTTTGGAGACCTCTGCATCATGCTGTGTTATATGGTATTACCGTGACTTTAAATGCCTTCTTGATTTTTGAGGCCTGATATGTATTTTTATCCATTTAAGCCCCCAAAATAAATACAACACTCTTTTGACATATATGTTAATAAGAAGCCTATATGTAAGCTGATTTCTGAAACCAATTATTCTTCACATCTTCAGTTATTCACTTATGTTCACAGCAGGGCACAGAATTAATTTGGTATGCTACTAGG